TATCTATCTATCTATCTATCTATCTATCTATCTATCTATCTATCTATCTATCTATACACACGTGTGTACTCACAAGCACATATATACTCTCTTCTAAGATTTCTGTTTCTTTGTACTCTTCCCCCTCTCCTCTTGCAGTATTAACTTTTTCATTATACATTAACTGTATCCTGAAGCCACAAAAGAAGAAGAGAGAATGATGGTCATAAAAATATTATTTTGTAGTTTAATGTGCAAAAACGTCTCCAGAAATAGTCTGCATTCCTATGCCTTGAATGAAGGCTGAGTGCCGTGCACGTAGTGAAAATATTTAGACAGATTAAGCTGCTCTCTGATGAGTTTCCTTCCTGTGCAGCATCTTAATATTACTCTGCAGGCTCCAGCAACCTGAACATAGCTCCACTGTCTGGTAGGCTTACATTTAATCTTTGTCTTTCACAAATTTCAGACTTGATTCTCTTGTAAACTTCTTCCTGGAAACTACCATTCCAAAGTATAATCTTGATAAATAAACAAGTAATTAAATAAATGTTGTTTAGTTGATAAATGATTAAACTGATTCCCTCGCTCTCAAATAACATTTTGTAGGTTTTTTTACAGATGGCTTTGGAATCTGGGTTCACTCATGGAGTGTTATCAATACTTTTTTTCCCTAATAACCGGCATATTTGGTGGCGTGAATCCATGGCAATGCAGATTTATTGGTTAAAGCAAATAATAAAGTTTGGCCATGTTTTCTGGTTCTTATTTATTGTTTATTGGCAATACAACATTCAGATTCTAAGTGGTTTTGGAGTCACTTGCAACCTCCGGTTGAGTTATTTTTTCCCATTTTAGCTCAGATAATAGTTTGAAGCCATATTAGAAATTAACTTGCAATACTGTTTTGAAGGGCATATATTTTCCTAGTTTGGATGTAAACAGTTTGTTATATAGAAGAAGCAATTAATTGACATAAAGTCAAGAGAAAGGTTGAGGGAGTTTATAGCTTTCTTGAATAATAACAAACCATAGCTTGACATGCCTGAAAATCTCAGTATTATTTATAAGCTGTCATAAATATTTTTTCTTTTTCCAGAGTGATGAGGCAATTATGCAGCATACATTATTTAAGAATGGATAGTTCTCTTCGCTATACATTCTTGAATAAACTCCTTTGCTTTCTTCTGCATCAATTCTACACGTGGATTATGAATTAATGAATTAGCATC